AGGCTTTATATATATTACAAATTGAAGTTTTTATGGTTGTTTTAATATATTTAATAAATTATATTGAATATAATTCTCATATTTATACAAGGGCGTATTTTGATTATGTTGATATTAATTTTTTATAAATAAAATAATAAAATGATCCATTTATATAAATTGCTCTTCACATCACAGTTTAACAGAAAGATACTAAAAAAGTCAATGTCTTCTTCTTCCTCGTATATTCCATCCTGGTCTTCTGCAACTCAAAGGAGACAACTTGAACCTTCAGACAACTCGAGTCCGGATGTTTCCGGGCCCCAACAATCCCTCATTGAACAGGCTCCGACTCCCAAGCCCCTCTTTCAGTTGATCGCCTTAGGGCTCATCGTCTTCCTCGGACTCCTTCAGTTTCTCCCCGCAACCCATTTTCGAGACCCCTCGGATCCTTTCAGAAACTGGGTTCCGTTCAGCTCCGTTGATTCTGTAAGTTACTTCTCCTTTTCTTTAAGTTATGGAATAACGTTTATGGACGGAGGGTGGAAGGGACAAGTAGGGGCAATTCCGTTCCGCCCCGCCCCCCCCCCGGGATCCTAATTTTTTTTTCTTTTTTCTAAAAATATTAGAAAATAGCCTATGTTATTAAAACAATTTAAAAATACCAAACAAATTCTCATTATTTGAGTCTTCATTTGTCTCTTAAACTTTATTAAACAAATATAGTAATGCTGTGCACTCTTAGTGATATTATAAATTTTTTATTCCAGATTTCTCATCCTGTATGATTAATCCATGTCATTTGTTAAAATTAACGTATTTTACGTATTATTATCGTATAGGAATACACTACTCGAAACTATTTCCTGGGTACATGCAGTGATGTAGAGAAACATTGTGGTGGTGTAATATTACTGGGTTAATATTTTGCATTGTACTGAGACTCTATTGTGTTTTTAGAGAAATAATTCGAGGAATTTCAGTGATGGAGAGTCTGGAATCAATGGGCAAAAGGATGGAATTGTGCACATTGTGTCGTGGATGGAGTGTTTGGACCTTCGAATGCTTGCAGTTCTTGCTAACTCAACTCTGTCAGGCTCAAGGTTTGGGTTGAATTTAATCGAATGTTAATTATATAAATGATTAGTTTTGTGGCTCATAAAAGTGCTTCCTGTATGTTTTTGCCTTGCAACTTGAGTGATTCTGCATGATAAGTGTTTGATAAATTTATGGAAGTTCAGTTTTCAGAGCGGTTTATCATCACATTTGAATGACTCAAACTCATTCAATGGCCTTGCCACTGTTAAGAAATTTCTTATAATGAACACCGTAAAAGTTTAGTATGTCAAATTCTCTTCGGATAGTAGAGTCTTGAGCAGGCAGATTATCATCAAAACATTCTGTGTATTATGTTTGACTGTGGTAATGATGGTACTTGTGGTAAAACTTATTTGTTTAGCATGCATTTATCAGAATTTGGTCCCTTGGTTGATGCTTCTCTTCATTGCACTAAGCTTTTGTAATTTACTTGCCATATACACGTATGATTTGATGTTAACAAATATATTGTGAATTAAAGTCTATGGAAATGAATGTCCATGTCATTCAAGGGCAAACCAAGTTATTGTAAATAATTCTATTGTCAGTATCAAGTGGCAAAAGGCATGTTGTTGTGGCTTATCTTAGATTTAAGTCTATTGTGCAAAAACAATGCACATGAGAGTATGCTTTCTTTCAACATAATTGATTTACTCTTGATTGATTCATGAATTTTGATATTCTTATAAACTATTCAAAGTTTTCTTCGAATTCTGTATCTTAGAGTTGCTAGACTGTGATCTTGCCATTGATTTTACTTTTATACCTGATTGCCACATTTCAGATAGAACCACAGTGATCTTTTACATGATCTAGTTCTGGTGCAGAGTGTGCTAAAATTAGGCATTTGGTGACAAATTTGACTGTGATTACATCTATAGTTATAGTTGGTTGTGTTGTGTATTAAATCGTTAGGTTATTTATTGTGTCAAGTAGTTTAAGGTGATTGCACCGGTTGCTGTATGGTTTTAGTGGTTAGTTTTCTACCCTTTTTACTTAATCTTGTTTCTTGTTCAATGTTCAGGTATCCAAACCTGCTTCACTTTCACTTCTTTATCCCAAAAGGGAATGAAGACAAAGTGTCCTTTTTTAAGTTGAAAGTGTTGTTCCCACATTCAAACCTTGAGATTCATGGGTAAGCTGTTTCTTTTGTTTATATGTTCGCTAGGAAAGTCCATCTCTTAATTCTAATGTTGTGAAACTATAGGCAGGAAGAAGTGAAAGAAGCGGTTCGGACTGCTATGTCTGGGGTAAAACATCCTATATTCAAGTATGAAGAAATAGTGCCTTTCATTATACCTAGAGTTCACCGCTTCTTGGGTAAATTCATATACATCTCACCAAATGTAATTGTGAAGGTTAGTCCTCTCCGTCCCTTAGATTACGTACTTGATTATAGTTGTAGTTTATCTCTCAATTTGTTGGATATGGTTTGAGACATTAACTGATCAGCCTTTGAAATTTCTCTCTCTATTTCCTTCTTTATGTTGTCTTTTCTTGTATCAATTTGATTTTCCGTTGCCTGGCCATTGAGCTCATGTTAGACTTTCTACATTGTTTACATTTTAGTTTGTTGCAGGGGAAAGTTGAAGAACTAACTGGTGTTGACTTGAGCAATTATGCTATTGCAGCTGCCGAGGACTGCTCAAGCTTAGAAACTTATGTTAATTCAGACGTACTCGACGCTATCCAGAGATCAGCATCAAAGCCTTGGGTATCTGAGACACCTTATGCAAAGATTTCTTGTATGCCAGACTTGAGCTTGATTTTGATTGATTCGAGGAGATTGGAAAAAGATTTTCTGGAGGCTTTCCTGTGGTGGAATAAAGTTCTAAATTGGAGTGAAAGGTTTGTAGGCTTTATTAGTTTTCTGCATTATAAACTTTTTGAATGTAGAGAGTTGGAACTATGATTTTTTAACATTGAAGTGTACTTATTGATTCATTCACAGGATCAGCGGAAGAAATCCTGCCATTTCACTGGCACTCTACAACAGATACCTCAAGCTTTCTAGTTCTTGGTTGGTCAGAGACTCGACGTCATTGGTATTCAACGAAAGTTTTCTTACTGGTTACGATGGGCCTAAGACTGTTTGCTCTGAATCTGGTGATAGTGCCACTTCAGAACCAGCTCATGGCAATCTCTGGACAGAGCACCTTCCCTCAACATCGGATCGAATCGTGGGCAGCTAGAACTTTACCAGTTGCAGAAATGGGAGGTGGGATGAAATTTTAAATAAATTGAATCATTTATCCGTCAATGCTGAAAGTTCATCTAAGCAAGAATGCTGTAGTGTTAGTACTGTTTATTTAAATGATGTACATGAGTAACCGTATTTTACTAGTGCCAGTTTCTGCTGGTTTCTCCGTGTATAAATTTTTTCGTAACAATTTCCGCATGGATAATATGTTTGGTTATCGTCATTCCATGATCCTGGTACAATATCGTATAAAGTACTTTTATCAGTAACTGTTCATCCTTGTTCAACAATTCGTACAAAACTTGTACTAATTAGGAGCTTTTACAAAAGTCATTATTCAATGTTAGTCCTCCATTGTCAAGGTTCTGTTGTCAGAGATTCAAAAGGATGAGCAAAATTCAGTACTATTTTGACCGTATACAAATTTCTATCAATTTTGGTATATAAGAATTAACTCCTATTAGTATTAGCACGAGAATCAATCCGAATCCCATGTCTTTACCTGAGAATTTTCGATCATTTATCTAATTGTTTGGCAGGGCTGCACAAGCCAAGTGTTGTCAAGGTCATCCTATTCTGGCAATTTGACATCATCTGGAAAAATAATGCCGATGCTTCCAAGGTCCAATTATTATTATTATTATTACTTTTTTTTTTTTTTTTTTTTTGGTGGAGTTCGGGAACCTCAATGTAAAGCTACAATTTGCAGAACCGGCAGAAAGTCAACCCACTTTGGTTTGATTATACGTTATCAATAAAAGACTTCCCTTTTGTTCTCTTTGGCTCCTTCGATAGATTCTCCCATTGGCCAGTTTGTTGTTAACCATATGAAAACAACAAGAACATTCAATGTCCAATAAGTTGTCCTTTAAGACCAAATCAACGTTGTACAATGTGTACTTTGAAGAGCCTGGCCGGCAAGATTCTATTAAAAAAAAAAAAAAAAAAAAATTTCCCTGATTCAATCAAGTTTTGTCCTTTTGCCTGTCTATTATGAACGCGTTTTCGTTGTTTTCAAAGGAAGTGGTTAATCATATTCGTGAATCTTCAAAATACTAAATCCATTTTCCCCTTTCTGTTTTTCGAATTTTCGAAAAACGACAAAAGATGCGTTTGAAATAGCTGATTCTCATCAGATTCCATGGAGGGATCCATGGAATGATATTAGAATAGTATAAACCAATAGTTTAGTTTAAAGAACATGGTGGGTTTGTTGACTTCTATGAATATTTATTTAATTTTTTATGCTTCAAAATGATTTTGAATTCTCGAATCTAGTGGCAATGTGGCACGATGGATCATTAATTATGCAGGAGCCAAGCCATGCTGTTTGAACATGCATAAAAGTTTGGTTCTTGAAGTAAACTAAATTGACTTGCTTTGCTTGAAAATGCAGGTACCATGTGGGTTGTATATTATTTTGAGTAACTTGAACATCTTGAAAGGAGTATAAAGGGAGGAAAATCTTATGCTTCCTGCCAATGGATTATTATTTAATGCATAAAATATGGCTCATGAAAGGCCTGCAGGATCCGAGAAAGTTGAAACTTGAACATTCGGAGTTTCTCTATGCAGCAAGTCCGGTAATGGAATCACACAGAATATAGAAGGGACAGCTTAGAAAAAGACAGTCTAGAAACGACAAGTTTGAGTAGTTCTGTTTATTTATCGTGACACGGTAGTCGAATTTACGATGCCAGATATCATTGAAATCAGAGTTTTGTGTTTTCACTCAGGTGCTTTTGTTGATGAGAGTTGTGTCTAACATCTTGGAGAATCAGTTGAAATGGTGGAGTCTTCTGGGAGAACAAAGGGGAAGCTAAGATGGAGCAAATTGTATTCTTTTTCGTGTTTCCGGGCAAACACAGGAGATGTGCAGGAGCTTATTGGTCAGCCGGGTTTTTCCAGGGTAGTTTTCTGCAATGAACCTCAACTACACAAGACCAAACCTTTCAAGTACACCAACAACTATGTGTCCACAACTAAGTACAATGTTGTGACTTTTCTTCCCATAGCACTTTTCGAGCAGTTCCGCAGAGTTGCCAATCTTTATTTTCTGTTGACAGCATGCTTATCTGTTGTTAATTTGGCTCCATATTCTCCCTCAAGTTTGATCGCCCCCTTAGTCTTCGTTGTCGGAATTAGCATGCTTAAAGAGGCAGTGGAGGATTGGCAAAGGTTTCTTCAGGTAATTATGAGGAAAATAGTTGTTTTTGATGAAGCATTTTCATTGTTTATATTGTGTTTTCATGTTTGTAAACCATACTATTAAAACATTGTTGCAGGATTTGAGTGTGAATAACAGAAGTGTAAAGACTCATTTAGGAAATGGGATATTTGTGGACAAATTATGGAAAGAGCTTTGTGTGGGAGATGCTGTTAGAGTTAGTAAGGATGAATATTTTCCAAGTGATCTCCTTCTTCTATCTTCAAGCTACGAGGATGGTGTTTGTTATGTGGAGACCATGAACCTTGATGGAGAAACAAGTTTGAAGATTAAAAGATGCTTAGAAACCACACTTGGTGTAAATGAGGAGAAGGAATTCACTAGATTCAAAGCTAGTATTCGTTGTGAGGACCCGAATCCAAATCTTTACACCTTTGTGGGGAATCTAGAGTTTGAAAATAGATCATATCCCTTGTGTCCTGCCCAGGTGCTTTTAAGAGATTCGAAACTTCGAAACACTGATTACATTTATGGAGTAGTAATCTTTAGTGGACATGATACAAAAGCAGTAAGAAACTCAACAAGATCACCATCTAAGCGTAGTCGGATTGAAAGAAAGATGGATTATATCATCTACCTTCTCTTCTCAATACTGGTACTAATTTCATTCATTAGCTCCATTGGTTCTGCTCTTGTTTTGAAATATGACATGGTTAAGTGGTGGTATCTTCGTCTGCAAAATGATGACAGATATTTCAATCCATCAAATCCTGTAGTATCAGCTATCCTGCAGTTCATCAGGGCCCTCATATTGTATGGCTACTTGATCCCCATTTCTCTGTATGTTTCCATAGAAGTTGTGAAAGTTTTACAAGCTATGCTCATTAACAAGGATATAGAAATGTATGATGAGGTGACATGTAAGTCTGTTAAAGCACGAACTTCAAATTTGAATGAAGAACTGGGTCAGGTAGAAATGATTTTATCAGATAAAACGGGGACCTTGACTTGTAACCAGATGGAATTCAGGAAATGTTCAATTGCAGGAATTTCTTATGGAGGTGACATAAATGAAGTTGATCTTGCAGCATCAAGACGAATGAATGCTGATGTCGAGGCATATCGATTTAGTGTTAATGATTCTGATACAACAAGTCAAAGCTGCGAAATGTTTGAGTTCTCGGTGGCTGATATTAATGCTCAAAAGGCTGCTCCAGGGGGCCATGAAGACATGGATATTCCAATTCTTGAAAACTCAAAGATTTCTAATGTGAGGAAAGAAATATTTATAAAGGGTTTCAACTTTAGGGATGACAGGTTACTGAACAAGAACTGGATTCACAAATCGAACTCAAATGACATGACAATGTTCTTCAGAGTCATGGCTCTATGTCACACAGGCATACCTGTGGAAGATGATCATACTGATAAGCTAAAATATGAAGCAGAATCACCAGAAGAAGTTGCTTTCTTGATTGCTTCACAAGAGTTCGGGTTCCAATTTTGTCGAAGAGCTCAATCCACAATGGTTCTAAAGGAAGTTGATCCTTCCTCCGGAAAGGAGATGGAGAGGTAAATTATCCAACAACTCCGTTTCCATTTTGGTATTTTCTTCTTTTACATTCAAGCGGCTTGTTCTGTTTGATACGTTTTAATTCCTACACATGATATCAAGGTCATTACAGGGAGTACAAGCTTTTAAATCTGTTAGAGTTCAGTAGTTCTCGGAAAAGGATGTCGGTAATTGTAAGTGATGAAGATGGACAGATCTTTCTCCTTTGCAAAGGGGCTGACAGGTATGCCATCTAAACCAAGTTCCTAATGGTCAAGCTTGTATGATTTAAAATGCTAAGATTTGGGCTCTTCCTGATTTTCCCAGGCTCATTTTTTTTTTACTTTTCGATTCTTTTTACAGCATTATATTCAGCAGGCTTGGAGAAAACGGTAGGTCATACCAGCAGGAAACAACTTCTCACCTTTCAAGTTATGCAGAAGATGGTTTACGTACTCTAGCTTTCGCCTATCGAAAACTTGAGGAGAGTGAATACCAAAATTGGAACTTGATATTCACAAAGGCTAAAACTACAGTAGGTCCTCAACGGGAGGAGTTACTAGAGAAAGCATCAGAAATGATTGAAAAAGATCTGATTTTGCTTGGGGTAGCCGCTGTTGAAGACAAGTTACAGAAAGGGGTTTGTATAGAT